TGGCGAATTCTGGGAACAATGTTGACAACGACCATGGTAACAATGATGATAATGCCGGTGATGCAGAATCCAAAACCTCACCAAAAACCCCTAGAGCAAAGGCATCTCCTCCAGCAGCAGCGCTAGTAGCAGGAACGTCAACGGGAGGTGGAGCAGGAACGGGAACGGGAGCTGTGGAAAAGGATCCGGTACGCAAGTCTCTCTTCTAATGTCATGGAGACAACATTCAACTATGTTTAAACAGATCGTTTTCCTTTCCTTTATGGTAGATTTGTACGAAATACTTTTTTACTTTGGTAGACTTGTATTGATGATTTTTTTAAAACTTTTCCTGCATAGTAGACTTTTAATGTTTTCTTGAAATACAAGACTAACTTTATGTGGTAGATTTTTGGCAGTGATATTTATATTAGGTAGATTTATAATTAATTCGGTAGATTTTTAGGTAGATTTAGTTATGTTATTATTTGATTTGACTGATGTGAAATTACTATACATGCCAAGCAGTCGTGGATGATGGAGATGCAGGAAACATCAGAGCCAGGTTTTCCTGTTGCAAGAGTTGTTAGAACCCCAGCGTCGAGAGGAAAGACTGTAACCAAAGTGAAAAAAGAACCTGCTGATCCTAAAGAGAAGAATAAATCAGGCACAAAGTCAAAAGCTGATTTAAAAGACAAAAACGAAGAAAGCCAGATAATCAATATAAGCGATGTTTCACGCCCACTACAGTCTAGACGAGTACAGATCCCTTCCCTGCAAGACGAAGACGACTCAGCGATTGAATCTATGAAGAAACGCTTAGAAAAGCTGGTGGAACATGCAAAAAATCCACCTGCTGAGAAGGAAAAAAGGGGACGCAGCCTTGCACCGACCCAGGTTTCACCCTACCTTGGTAACTCAGTGGTGAGACGCATCATGGACCCAGCAGGTCCCCCTCCTGGGAGGTATGATCCTTTTGAAGCGGTGGACAGTCGAATACTGGATAATCTAACCCGCTACGTAGCTTTTGAAGCGTAAGTCAGTTTTAAATTTCCATGGTAGACTTACTTGTTTGATTTGGTAGACCTATTTGTTTTATATAGTAGACTTATTAGGTATGTTGGTAGACTTACTTCGGAGTCTGGTATGTCTATGTCATTTTTCAGGGAAAAACAGTTGGAGTGTCCATATGCAAGAGGAGAATTTTACCTGACACTAATGACCCCTAAAGAAAGCTGGCCTAGAAAGGAGTATGGGTGGTTGCATGATCAGGTATGTGGTCGTATCAGTCACCCGATCTTAGTTTCAAAAGGTTTGGTAGACTTTGGAAATTGTTTGGTAGACTTTGGAAACTTAATGATAGAATTACTTTGGTAGACTTGTAGTAACAAATGGTAGATTTAGTCATTATGTTTGGTAGACTTGTATTCTATTATGTAGTAACAAATGGTAGATTTTGTCAGTATGTTTGGTAGACTTGTATCTTTTATGTTTGGTAGACTTATAATAAATTTGGGTTGTAAAGCTGGTTGGTAGACTTATATAAATTTGTTTCATTAC